ATGGTGGTGATGGTGGTGGTGGCTTTTTCGAATGATTCAGCTACCACACGTACAAGCTACGGCCATAAAACAACACGGCGATGGTATTGCAAAGACTAAAAATTTTCCCATCTTCTTCTCTCCCCCATCTTCTCCCCCCGCCCGCAGCATCAGCAAAGCACGCTTTGTCTCCGAGAGCTTCCGTGCGCGACCAACGGCATTTCAAAGAAACGCTTGTTTTCCTGTTTTCGAATGATTCAGCTACCACACGTACAAGCTACGGCCATAAAACAACACGGCGATGGTATTGCAAAGACTAAAAATTTTCCCATCTTCTTCTCTCCCCCATCTTCTCCCCCCGCCCGCAGCATCAGCAAAGCACGCTTTGTCTCCGAGAGCTTCCGTGCGCGACCAACGGCATTTCAAAGAAACGCTTGTTTTCCTGCTTGAGCCCCATGGAGGGGCCAGGAAAGCTCCTGCGCCAGCGCCGAGGACGCCCACAGCAGCGAGCGCGCCAAGCGCGGTACAGGCTCCACGCCGCGGGTGCCGGGTAATACGCGAAAGCGTTTCCCTGCGGCACGAGCGGAAGCCACGCAGCCCTCGAGGTGGTTTTATCTGTTGTATGCGTGGAATTTCTGGGCAGAGAATTCCAGGGAAGGGGAAAGGGAGTTTATTTTCCCGTTTGCTTAGAAGACGGATTCTGTTTAGCTAGGAGCAAGCCGTAGCGTGCAGCGAGCAGAGCCTGGCAGCCACCATCAGACGGCGTACGGCAGGACCGCAGGAGAGACCGGCGCTGGGAGCCCCAAGGGAGCCGATCAGCCGCTTGGCTTCAGTTTTCTTCCTTATTCCTCATGCTTTAAAAGGAAGAAGTGTTTGACTGTTGACAAACTACACGTGTTCTCAGCCGTGCCCCCGAGCCGTTGGCTTTGCTCCCCTCGCAGCATCGCTGCCGCAGGCGACAGTCCCGCGCCCGGCCCCCACCTCGTTCCCCCGAGGGCTCTGGCCACCCGAGAGCGAAGCAGCAAAAGAGCGGTGCTGGATTCCCGGGACACAGGCTCAGCCCGTGCTTTGCCGTCGGGCCGTTCAGTTTCTGAACACAAGTTCCAGGAATTCGCTTGGAAAAGCTGCGGGGAGGTTTTACCAGCAGCTGCCCTGGCAGGGGCTTGTCCTCATCTCGGCATCCCTGGAGCTGATCCCACTGGGAGTGACCGCGGGTGCCCTTGAAAATGAGGGGCTTTGGTTCATGTTCTGCTGCTTTGAACAAAGAACACATGCCGTTCTCTTCTAAAAGAGTGGGAATTTCAGATCTGCCTCAGTGACAAGTCGCTCAACAAGGGCCATGATGAGTGGGAGGGGAGCACGTCCTTCCGCGTACGCATCCTGTGATTATCTTCACGCTGGAACTCCAACACCAAGTACCCCCACCCCCAAACGGGGACCCCCAGTGCCAAGGGCCGATGCAGCACCGCGCTCCGCCGCCCCGTTTCCTTGCTTGGAGTACGTTCTGGTTCTGAGCACGGGCGGCTCTGGCTCCTGCGCTGCCAACGATGCGCTCTCACCCTACAAACGGGCTAAGACAAGAGCGTGCTTTGTGTTCGCTTTGTAAAAACCCACCAGGTTTTCCTTCGAGAAGGATCCCTGTTTTCTCTTCCTGGAGCATCACTGAGAACAACCGGACGACGAGTGCAGCGGTACTGCGCTGGGTCACCTGGACACTGTAGATGTTAATGTATATAAGTTTCAGCAACTGCTTGTCTCGCATGGCTTAGCTCGTAAGGATGATCTCAGAACAAGTTATTAAATCCTACATTTTAATGAGATTCATGAACAAGGGCAGTTATTTATTTTAGTGTAACGAGAAACAAATTATTTGGAAATAGAGCACCTGAAAATACAGTACCTTAGTGAACGTGGAGCTGAAAATACATTGTTAGCACAGCAAAAAGAGATGGCTTTGGTGCGCGCAGTCTAGCACGTTCCTTTTGGGGTTTTGGGTTGGTTTTGGTTTTTTTTTTGTGGCAGATACTGTTTAGTCTGAAAGGTTCTCTGTGCAGCCTGGGGAGACGCGGTGACATTTGGAAGATCTTGCATGCTGCTGTCGTGGCTGTGGCCGAGTCACAGGTCAGAGCTGCTTGCGTGGGAATCGGCACCGCAGGCTGGACGCAGATTCTCACGCTGCGTGCGACAGCGTCTGTTTTGTGACACGTCCGTGCAGTAAACAGGGACCGGGGAATATGGGGAGCGTGCTGAACAGGGACCGGAGCGTATCAGCGGCGTGCTCGCAGCTTTATGGCCGGCGTCTCCTCTCTCTGGGGGCCGACCTGCGAGGTCCCGGAGCGACGAGCAGCTGAGCGCATCTGACCCCCTTGAGGTGAGAGGAAAGGGGTGGTGGAAGCGCTGGCAAAAACCCCCGGGCTGCTCCTGTGCCTGTTAGGAAAGAAAAGGCAATTTGGGTGGTTTGCCAGGAAATACTGAGAGACCAGGAGGACGCAGAGATCCAATGCAACCCCACCCATTCTATGATTCTGTGATTTGTGATTCTATGATTCTATGATTCTATGAGCAGGGCGGTGACCGTTCCCCTGTACTTGGCACTGGTGAGGCCGCACCTCGAGGGCTGGTTTTGGGCCCCTCACTGCAAGAAGGACATTGAGTTGCTGCAGCATGTCCAGAGAAGGGCAATGAAGTGGTGGAGGGTCTGGCACACAACTCCAGTGAGGAGCGGCTGAGGGAACTGGGGCTGTTGAGCCTGGGGAAAAGGAGGCTGAGGGGAGACCCGATCGCTGTCTACATCTACCTGAACTGAGGCTGTAGTCAGGTGGGTGTTGGTCTCTTCTCCCAAGTAACAAGCGATAGGTCCAGAGGAAATGGCCTCCGGTTTCCCAGAAAAAAACCTCCAGGGGAGGTTTAGATTGGCTATTAGGAAAAATTGCTTCACCGAAAGGACTGTCAAGCACTGGCACAAGCTGCCCAGAGCAATGGTGGAGTCACCAGCCCTGGAGGGATTTAAAATGCACGTAGACGTGGCGCTTGGGGACACGGGTGAGTGGTGCCTCGGCAGCGCTGGTTAACGGTTGGACTCGATGATCCTAAGGGTCTTTTCCAACCTGAACGATTGTGTGCTTCTATAATCCAAAAGCAAAGATCTCATCCGGCCAGCTGGGACCGTTCAGCCTGGAGAAGACGCCGGGCGGGGGGACACCCGTTTCGATCGGAGCCAGGGGTGCCCAGTGCCGATGAGCACAGACCGACACACAGGAGGTTCCCCCTGAGCATCGGGAAACCTTTTCCCACCACAGGGGTGACCGAGCGCTGGCACGGGCTGCCCGGGAGCTCGGGGAGTCCCCCTCCTTGGAGACCCCCAAAAGGTGCCTGGCTGTGGTGCTGGGCAGGGTGGTTGGACCAGTGACCTCCGGAGGTCCCTTCCCACCTCAACCAGCCTGTGACGCGGTGAGTTATAGCCGTGCCAGGGGCGTAAGCGCCGGGTGCTTGTTACCAAGGGGCTCGGGGCTCTCAAAAGGGCAGGCTGCAAAAAATCAGCTGTCCCATTCCCCATTGCCCCCAAAAAAGAAGAAATCCCCCCCTAAAAGATGTATTTGGGTGAAAATAAACTTCTAGAGTCCTTGAAAAGACCCATAGTGGCCCTGGAGGTAGG